CTCAACCATTAGCTGCCCCCATATAAGTTTATGACTTCGCAAATTGAGTGAGTAACGTCTCAGAAACTTCTAACTGATTTACTTTTTCGTCTCTCTTTCTCTGTCACACGGTCTCGGTTCAAATGAAAATCTTCTTTCAGATCGGACGACGATACTGAAACCATTGACGAGTTCCCAATGGATGCTGAAGTGCTATCGGTCGTCAGTAAAGCAAGTATACCACAGAAGAAATCTTACAAAGGTTCTTTTTAGCCAATAAAACATCATATTATTAAGCGTCGAGGGATTAAAAGCGCGATTATTTCATCAGGGATCTTTGAAGAAGAAAGAAGAAGCATCGAGGACACCTCATAGAGGAGGAGAAGAGCGCTCTAGGAAGGGTAGGTGACATTATAAATGGTCAGTTACATATATGATTTCTTCAATGGATTCCTTCGCAGGTGAAATTCTCCGTCTATATGGCCTATTTCAACTCCATGGGTATTGTGCGCTATTTCGTACCGTTTGCGATAACATTATCGTTGAACTCAGCTTTCATGATGGCTAGAAGTTTATGGCTGACTGACTGGTGCATCTACAATTATTTGAATAATATTATATGTGATTCTTAACATCTTCTATAGGTCCAACGACAATGTTCCTGGAGTGGATGAGGCGCTTGCAAAACCACTCGGTGTCCGCCTAGGTGTTTACGCTATCCTTGGAACTCTAGAAGGTGAGCTATTTGACCTCCAACAGGAAAAGTGGAACTGCCTCTACAATGCAGGTATACCCTAGAATAGCCACGATATACATATTCCCTAGAAGAAAGCTGTATGAGCTCTTTCACGTCTAAACTATGGCCTTGTACTGGTTATGCGCTTGATTAATTTACCAGTCGGATCGCCCGGCTGACGCCGAGCTCTCCTCCTTCTCTTTAGCTCGGCTTCGCCGAGCTGGCCTGGCTTCGCCAGGCGCGCACCATAATTCTAAGGCAGCATTCATACTTCGCGACAGCAGCGGCGATCGCGGCGACATCGCGATCGTCGGTACGTGGCAGAGCGCGCCCCAACGCTATTATGGACTGCTCGCTTGATAAATAAGGAAATCCAACTTGTGAGACCTTCTTTTCTCTAATAATGGCTACTAACTGATAACTTACGACTTTCTATACATAAGCGGATCTGGAATATGAGGTAAGGAGGTTTCACTTCTTTTTAGGTCGGGATAAGCGGTTCTCCTCGAATTTCCGTGAGTCAAGGAAAAGTATCTTTTTTTATTGGGCCCCTCTGTGGTAGGATCATACAGGAAATAGAAGGGTTTTTCTGCATGCGTTAAGATCAACACCCCTTCCCTAGTTGTACACCCACATTCATCGGACCTTTTTTATTTGTGTGCATTCTTCGTGATACGGTTCAGTGATTGGGCGAATGAAGGTAGTGGTAGTGGGTCTCCGCCCATATATTTAATATGGAATGTGTCTCTAGACGTATGCCATGTTCGACCCCTCACAACCATAGCGTCATGTTTATGTGAACTTGGCTGATATTGAGCCGCAAGGGTGCCGCGACGACGTGCCACGTTCAGCTAGCAGATTATTCTTTTCATATTGCTTTCGCTCATACCAGAGAAGATATAATTCGTTAATCACAGAACTAGTGCGAGTACTATGCGACCGCCAGCCTCCTGTTTGTGAAAGACAGCTTGTATCCCATGTCAGATTCGGAGACAGTCCCTGCGCTCAAGCAAATCGTAAGCGTACTCCGTCCCTGCGCTCAAGCAAATCGTAAGCGTACTCCCCTGTATGAACAGACTGGCTCTCATTCTCGATGATTATCCCGCTTTGGCCTCTTCACAGTAAGTGACCAAAGCGCTATGGCCCTCATAAGTGGCAGTTCTGACGCCTCCCTGGCTGCCCCTCCCGTCAAAGCTCAAAGGTGTTTCTGTCACGGGTTCAGTTTTACAGTTTTGCTCTGTCAGAGGTACTGGCACTGGATGACCGGAAGAAATTGGTGAGCTAGAAGCGGCAGGAGAGACGCAGCTGCGTCCTTACCTCACGCTTTCTGCTAGGTTTTTTCGCTTTTTTCTTCCAAGCAGGTTATTTAGCGACAGTAATTTCGTAACTAACGCCACTATCCACAATATTTAATCGCGGGGTTTGTCTTCAAATTACACTATACACGATGAATAACTTTAATTTTTCCAGTCGTGTTTCTTTATGTGGCGCTTACTTCCCTGATTCTCGGAGGAGTTGCTGCCTCGTTGAGATTGCACAAGCCATTGCTTCATAACGTACTACGGAGCCCTCTTTCACATTTTGATGTCACGCCACTTGGAAGAATTTTGAACCGACTTGGAAAAGTATGCTTAAATATAAACATACCGCCGTCTTCCACACGCTTTCAAAGTTCACCGATTCAGGATATGGAAACCGTCGATCTTCGCCTTTCGTCAAATTTCCGTTTCTTGGCTGTAGCCTTCATGAGCGTCCTGCAAGTGAGTTTATACCCTGTATGATAAGAAAAGCGGGCGACGAGCGTGCGTCTGCTAAGTGGAGAAAATTGATATTCTTTTTGGAGCGATAGGCGGAAAAGGCACCATTCGGCTTATTGGTGCCAGAATGGTCAGGAAAAGGCAGAGCTTATAAACTGGACTTTGCATGTCATTGTGTAGATCAGCTTGCATTCAAAATGCCACTACGGTTCGGAATCCCGCTCTTTGAGGCAGCGTTCAGACTTGTCGCGCTGCAATTGCCGCGCTCCAATTACCAGACTCCAGCTTCCCTTTATGTTCTTTCTTCCCCTTTTCACCGTTTCTTATTTCTACCTGATTCTCAACTCCTCTTTTTCACTTTGACACTGAATTGCCCGTTAGAACTTAAGAGAAATTTTATCTGGCTGCGCACCAACCCGTGGCCTCCGCAATATACCGTAGATACATATATAGGTTTGCTAGAGATGGGTCGACAAAATGAAGGGAACGTTGAAAAAGCGGTAGGCTCTTGAATTCCCTGTCCTTCGAAATGGGACGAGAAGTGGCTCGTGTTGATTGAATGACTGCTGATTTCTCTGCAGTGGTGATGCCTAAGGTATGCGCTTATTATGAAGATTCACACGCTCAACCGTTCATGTTTTCAGACCTGCATCATCATATCGATTTCAACACCTCTTTTCATTTTGGTCATTATCCCGATATTCATTATTTACTTACTTATCTTGGTGAGTTACATACTATTTTTTGATAGACGATTCCGCGTCTCCCCTTTTTCACTTTTTTATTTTCAGCGGTATTTCATCCACTGTTCACGTCAACTTCAACGACTCACCTCCTTGACTCGCTCTCCTATTTACTCCCATTTTGGCGAGACAATCCAAGGAGTAACGACCATACGTGCTTTTGGATGGATTGAAATGTTTCGGCAACAGAACATCGACAAGGTAGTGGTTATCGAACTAATTTTGGACACTCAAACTACTGCTCTTGCTGCTTCACTGTAATTAACTGAGATTCAATGCAAAGATTCTATCGTGAAGGAAGTGGTGCTTTCTAGAGTCTTGTGCTTGTCAGCAGATGCTGGAGCGTGTTAGAGGGCTAGGTTTGGCGCGGTGCCAAGTCCATTCTGCACCAGTTGTTGGAGCGAGGAAGCGGCAACAACTGGTGGGGAACGGGACAGCTCCGTTCTAAATCCAGCCCGCTACCACACTTAAGCATCCACAGCGAGCAAGACTGTTTATTAGGATCCCTGGAAGGTTTCGGGAGCTTTCAGTCACTCAACATGACGAGAACAGAGAACAAAAGCAGTCATGACCGATGCTGTCCTTGCCGTCCCCGTGCACTCCCATAGAAGCTGTTGGGGCACCGTGATCTCATGAATGTAGGTATTTGATCTTGTGTTGTACTGGATCTGCCTGAGTTGACTGGTTATTTTGACCAGGCGGAGGAGTATATTAACGGGATGTTGCTAGTCGTTATTCTACTGTCTTCCAATAAATATTCTGCTGCTATTCGCAAGGACACAACAACTGGCGATCAGGACAACGACTTCGAGGACCGCCGCCGCAACGATGCCAGAGGACGCTCTGCTCAAGGATCTCGTGCAGACAGGGTATTGTGTGGAACACTAGAGGGGTCGTATTTAGACGCTGGGGAGGGGAGGGGGTCGTTTATGTACATGAGAGAAATTTGCCGCGTTCGAAAAAGTTTTTTCAGGTTCTTGACATTTCGCGGTTTCGCGTGTCCACCACCTACTTGATGGTGGGGCAAATTTCTCTTCTTCTATTACTTACCTCCACTACTTCCGATGGTTGAAAACGCTAGTTGGTTCCTGATGACCTCCTACTCCCCCCCTCGCTCCGCTCGAAGGAGAATTTTTAGGTGAAAAACTGGAAAATGTGAGAAATTTCGGAAATACTTCTGGGAACTTGTAGGAAAGTGGTAGGTAGGTGTAGGGGAAGGCGGGGGAGGGTCGTACCGAAACCCTCCTTCGGGGGGGGGGGGGAGGGTCGTACTGACACCACCATTTCACACATCGCAATGCTGTATCCTGCGTGCAGATGATGGCCGCCCAGCAGAAGCTCCTCATAGACTTGCTCCAGAAGGTCTATTCTTTTACCCTATGGCAAGGAGCATCGACACGTTCACCTACGACACCGATAAAGACGATTGGTTCAGCAGACACAAGGACGTATTCGAACTCGACTGCCAAGGAATGGAGGAGAAGACCAAGACGCGTCTCCTAGTCTCTGCCCTTGACGCTGCAAGCCACACACGATTCGTCCGCCACATTCTTCCCAAGGAGCCCGGAGACCTGAACTGGAAACGCTCGATGCTCTAAAGACGCTGTTCGGAACCAAGAAAAGTCTCTTCCGCCGTCGCTTTGAAGTGCTTCCGGATGAATTTTTCGCCGAACGAAGACATCGATACCTTCGTCAACTCGCTGAAGGCTCGCGCCATGGAAGCCAATTTCAAGGAAATCAGGCAAGAGACTCTGGAATGCCTGGCTCTGGTTTTCGCCTTCCAAGCTCCAGAACTCGCCGACTACCGCGTCCGCTTCCTGCGCAAGCTGGACGAAGACGACAAGACCACTATCGACGATTTGGCCAAGGAATACCATGCCTGGAAATCGGTCAAGGATGACTCCAGAATCGTCGAAGCTGTCAATTCACAAGAAATCCATGCCGTCCAGAAGAGGAAGAAGCATCGTCTACCCGCCCATCCAAATCATTGCTGCCGCCATCACCGTGTCCAATCTGCCAGCAAGCTACATTGGAAGAAAGACTGCCCAGAAAACCGCAAAGCTACCAGTGCCACCCAGGAGTCAAGGACTGCGCCACGACGTCGCAACAAGCAGTCATCACCGCGCACCTGGTACCAACGCGTCATCGGCCGTCCAGGAGATGTCCAAAAGTACCTGGAAGTTCACATCAACGGACATCCCACCCGCCTCCAGTTGGACACCGGCGCCGACGTCACCATCATTTCTCGTCCAACCTGGATGCAGCTCGGAAGCCCTCATCTACAGAAGACCTCCGACGTCTTCAAAGGAGCCAATGGATCCCACTACCAATTCACGGAAGCTTCGAAGCCGCTTTCGTGGTCATGGACAATCGAGGAAGGCTCATCCCGGACATGGCACCTGCTATGTCTCCGACGACAACGACCTTCTCGGCATCACATGGATCGAGCAGATTCGAGATTTCAACCACGTTCTGAGGCGATTCAACGCACAGAAAGTCCATACGCTGAACAACGAGGCGCTCCGAGAACAGACGATCGCGAATCTGCGGCACCAGTGGATGTCTTTTTTCACGAAGCTCAATGGCGGAACCGTCTTCTCTCAAATCGACTTCGCCGACGCTTATCTACAGGTCGAAGTCGATGACGACTCCAGAGAGCTCCTCACCATCAACACGCACAGAGGACTCTACAGATACAATCGT